TATTTCGAGTACCGCCAGCCCATATATACAGTATGTATTCTTAGCCTATGATTAAGTCAAACCACTCTAAAGTCACACTCCAAATTTGGGGGAGCATCCCCCCAAGTAATTTTTGAGAGGAGGGGAAGCAAAAAGAGAAGACCTTAATTTTATTATTTTGAATTATGACCCCAGGACACAGAGTCACCTAGATTTCCATGTGTCCAGTCACCTCAGCCATCTTAATCCATAATCTCCTTCGCGGGGAAGCAGCCCTTCCTTCAGTTCCTGATGTCCTTCTACTCCTTCAGTGTTGCATAGTCGCAAGATTCTGGGGACGTCTCGGCAGGGCTGGACGCTGTCTCAGACAGCGCGTTGGTGTTCAGCTGGGCATAGGTCACCTCTGGGCGGTCTCCAGCCTTTGGGGAAAAGAGATAGACATGTAGACCTGAGCTGCCCAATATGGCAGCCGTGGGCCACATATATGGCTAGTTAACTTCAAAGGAAATTAAATTAAAAGTTGAGGTCCTCAGAGTCTCGGCAGAGGTGCAGCAGCCACACGTGGCTGGTGGCTGCTGCACTGGCAGCGCCGCCGCAGAACGTTTCCCTCACTGCAGGGAGCCCTGCTGGACAGCGCCCTTCCAGACCGGCTGCGCCTCAGGGCAAGCTCACAGCAGTGGCGGGGTGCCATCTGTCAGCGATAACTGGTGCTTAGACAAATCGGGGCAAACACATGGCTTTGAGAATATGAATACCTTCTGGTTATATAATACTATATATATTGTTTCATTTTATTAATTTGTTTTCCGTTAAAACTAGTAGTCACATATCATTCATTTTTATTTAAAAAATTTTAATCTTTATTGTGGTATGAGTCCTATGCAGTAAACTACACATATTTTAGATGTGCAATTTGATGAATTTTGATGGATGTCTCTACCCCTGAAACCACCACCACAATCAAGATAGCTAACACTTCCATCACCCCCCCAAGAGGTGCAAATTTTGAACGCCTGATTTATCCCTTCCCACTCTCAATACTGTATTATTTTTAAATAATTTTATCGAGATATAACCTGTAGACCATAAAATTCCCCTGAATATAAAGTGTACACTTCTATGACTTCTAGTGAATTTGCGGGATGATGCAACCATCACCACAGTATAGTTCTTGAACACCTGTCACCCCCACCAAAGTTGCCTGGGGCTTGTCTGAAGTTAAGTCTTTTAACTTAACTGCCCCACCCACCTCCCACCCCCACCCCAACTCCAGCCACAGGCAACTACTAATTCACCTCTTTTGGAGATTTTTATATAAATATGTAAATGGAACCATACTATATACGGTCTTTTGTATCTGACTTTTTTCATTTAGCAAACTGTTTTTCGAAGTGCGTTCATTGATCGCATGTATCAGTAGCTTCTTCCTTCTTATTGCTGAATAGTACTCCATTGCATGGAGGTACTGCATCATAATATCACATTATTATAACATTATTATTGTCAACAGCTTGCTCATCAAGGCCACTATTCCAACATTTAAAATAGACCAGATTTGTTCATTGGTGCTTAAGTTGTGAACTTGTGAACGACGCTCTTCCATAACTTAAATATGCACATACATCTAAATGAACATAATGTGCATAAAATTTTTTAAACACAGTCGTGAACTACTTAAATCTTTTGCTAATGCTTCTATTTACTTGGTGTAAAGAATGCGTCCTCTGGGAAAATGTACGAGTCTTACCTGATACTGCTCTCAGATGTAGTGCTCATTCATGTTACATCACAAACAGGCAGTATTTTAAACAGAAAAAAAACCTGATGGATGTAAACTGATTAACGTTTGTTAATTGATGCTTTTATGCCATCCGTCTGACATCCACATTTCGCTGGAAACTGAAATAAATTCTCTATGTTTATGACATCGCTGGACTCGCCCAAGCCTTTTAAATGAAGATTTCAATTCCCATTAGATATAGGAGGAAAGAAAGTGTCCCAATCATGGGGGTTTCATGATTTATCTCAGACCACACTGGTGACAAACTCAAGACATTGGGAGCTGGAATCCAGCTACTCTGGAATTTAAAGCACATTGGTTTTGTTTGTTTGAGATATAATCGACATATAACATTGTACAAGTTTAAGGTATACACCTGATTTGATACATTGATATATTGCAATACGGGTACCACCTGGCTAACACCTCCATCCTATCACCTAATTATCATTTTTGTGTGTGTGGTGAGAACAATTATCATCTGGTCTCCTAGCAACTTTGAATGTCTGATAAAGTATTGCTGACTATAATCTCCACACTGTGCATTAGATCTCCAGGATTTATTCATCTACAAGTTGCAAGTTTGTTCCTTCCATATTCCCCAATTCCCCCAACCCCCAGACCCTGGTAACCACCATTCTACTGTCTGTTTTCACAAAATCTGTCAAAGCATGTTTTTAAATGTGATGTTATTTGGCTTCATTCACATAACCAGCTGGGCTAAGCCAGGAGGCAGACAGACCAGCCCGCAGGGTAAGTGAGCTCTGGGGGAATTCCAAAGGGGAGAACTCACCGATTCAGATATTCTTTCTAGGTTGAATAAATCTGCATGTGAGTGAAACAAACAAAAAATCAGTTCTCAGACTGCAAAAGTCAGAGAGTCTTTCTCTCCCCAAATTCCTTATCACTTACCTGTTTTCTCCTGCTTGGGAAATTCGGAATGGCTGGTTCTGAGGGAGAGAAACATAATGAAGTCTAGGGTCTGAAGATTTGAGGAGAGAGTAGGGCTGGGCATAGCAGTCACTGATGTGCCCAAGGGCGGAAGAATGGAGCAGGAGTTAAGCAGGGCAAGGAATTGGCCAAGTATATCTACCTCTTGGTGGATTCTCCATGTGATGAACCTATTAAAAAAATACAGGGAGGAATTTGTCTACTGTGATAATCCTTCACTTTACTCCCCCATTTTTGGAGTTTTAAACCCATGCTTCTCTGAACTCACTGTGCTGACTGCATCTGTAGATGAAGAAGACAGCAAGGAAGAGGAGTAAGAGGGAGAGGCAGCTGAAGGTGGCGACGAAGATGACTGTGGTGTCTGGTGGGAGAGGAACAGGGCAGAGAGTCACTTTGGCTGCTGAAACACACTGGTAGTGGAGTTTAGAACAGTGCCAAGGAGCTTCAACTGGCTTCGAGGCGTGGAGCTGCCGCTTCAGAGCTGGAATGTCCAGTGGCTTAATTAATCTGCCTCATCTCCCGGAGCTTTTGTTTTCCCATTGGAAGTGAGGCTGGCATTAGTAGCTGCCTGACCGGCTGGCGGGAGCGTGACTGGGTCAGTCCACACAGAGAGGGCTAGCACATCGCCTCACAGACGGGAAACTCCCAGTAAATGTCTCCTCCCCAGCAGTCAAACTGGTCACTCAATGTGAGCCGCTCTGTGCTCACATGCTCCCCCATCTTGACAATAAATATACAAGATACGTTCACTGTACCATTTCATTCATACGTAAACCAAGCCCCAGGAAGTAAATTGAGTTCCCCAGAGTCACACAGACAGGATGGGCTTCAGACCCTGGTATGTCTAGCCTGTTAAACTAGTCTACCACAAACCCGAGGTAGCTCTGTGCTGACCACTGGGTGTGGACATTCAAGAGAAGTGATATTCTGAACCTGTTCTTGAAAACTCATCATCTGTTGAGATACACATTTACCCAACTAATTGTGATGCTACAGAGGTGATGGCAAGTCCAACAATAGATGAATCAAAATCCAAGAATCGTTTTCTCAAGGTATGGAATTTAAGTGTCCATCAACAGATGAATGGATAAAGAAGGTGCAGTGAATATATGCGAGGGAATACAACTCAGCCATAAAAAAGAATGAAATAATGGCATTTGCAACAATGTGGATGGACCCAGAGGGTATTAAACTTAGTGAGATGAGTCAGATAGAGAAAGACAAATACAGTGTGATTTCACTTATATGTGGAATCTGAAAAAAAAAAGACGAACAAACAAAACAAAACGAAAACACACTCATAGATACAGAGAGCAAACTGGTGGTTACCAGAGATGCAGGATTGGGAGAACGGATGAAGTAGTTAAAGGGATTAAGAGATACAAACTTCCAGTCTTAAAACAGGTTAAGTCATGGGGGAAGGGCAGAGCTCAAGTGGTGGAGCACATGCTTGGCATGCGCGGTCTTGGGTTCAATCTCCAGTATTTCCATTAAAAAATTTTTTAAATTAAAAATAAATAAATAAGTCATGGGGGATGTAATTTCTGCATAGGGAATAAAATCAACAATATTGTGGTAAATATGTATGATGACAGATGCCACCAGGCTTATGGTGGTGATCGTTTTGTAATGTATCCGGATACTGAATCACTATGTTGTATACCTGAAGCTAGTGTAATACTGTGTGTCAATTATACTTCAATTAAAAAATGAAAAAAAATGATGACTAAATCTTAGGGCATTCTAGACAAAGAAAAAGAAGAATTTTTCCATGTGTGTATATATCTACAATGGAATGTTATTCAGCCGAGACAAAGAAGGATAAGATACTGAATGTAGTTCCCTGTGCTATACATTAGGACCTTGTTTATTTTATATATTAAAAATTCTATTTTATTATATTGTATATAAATATCAAACTGAATCATATATATGTATATTATATATACAAATAATACATATTTCATTTTATATATATATAAAACCGAATCACTGTGCTATATACCAGAAACCAGCACATTATAAATCAATTATACTTAAATAAAAAAATTTTTTTTAAATTGTTTACAGAAAGAAGGACATCCTGCCATTTACAACAGCTTGGATGAAGCTTGAGGGCATTATGCTAAGTGAGATAAGCCAGACAGAGAAAGACAGATACTGTATGGGATCACTTCCGTGTGGAATCTAAAAAGTAAAATAAACTTGCAGGAACAGAGAGTAGAATGGTGGTTGCTAAGGGCTGGGGGGTGAGGGACATGGGGAGAGGCTGGTCGGAGTACAGACTTCCAGTTCCAGATGACCTGAGGACCTAGCACACAGTGTGGACTGTAGTTGGTGACACTACTGTGTAACTGAAATTTGCAGAGAGTAGATCTTAAGCAATCTCACCAAAAAAATTTTAAAAAGATAAATAAGTGAGATGGGGTGACAGACATGCTAATTAACTCCGTGGGGAGAATCGTTTACAATGGATACGTGTATCGCATCGTCATGTGGCACACTTTAAACATTTTACCACTTTGTCAATCATACCTCCATGAGGCTGAGGGGGATAAAGAGGAGGTGGGGGGAAGGGAGGTAAGAATACTTAACTTCAAGAGAGGGGTGACGATGAGAGCTACCAGCTCTAAAGCACTCTGTCTACAAGCTGACTCACCGTGCGGGATGAGGTTGCGGTGACAGTGATTGTTTTCTCACCCAGTATTCCACCCACACCCATCTCCCTCTGTAACAGATGCTGTCAACATTCCTCCACCCATGTTCCCATTTTTATGCCATTTTTATGCGTGCTAGATCATGGTTTCCTCCCTCTCCAACGTGAGCACTTGGATGTCTTTGTGGGATGCGCTGCACCCCATGGACATGTGAAAACAGGGCAGGAAGAGCTTTTCCTGGATAGGATCAGAGGAACATCAGCCTTACCTCCCGTCTTCAGTCCTCACCTGGGCTACCCTACGGTTTCCCTCACAGAGCAACTCGCTAGAAATGAGAAGTAAATTATTGCAAAACTGTCCACCACCCACTGAAGTTGGTTGGCCCTGAGATGTCCACATATCTTGGTCAAATTTCACATCACTGTTTACAAACTGCCAAAATAAATTTACCAAAGGTCTATGATATTGGTCTAAAGGTCTGACTGAGCAGGGCATAAATGAAGCTACAGGCACCAGAAAGAAAGCCTGTCCTTGTAGAAAAGTTCGGTGATAAAATTAATTCATCATCGACCTGTGCACAGAACTGAGGCAGACGGTCCCTTCCTAGTAGCTTGGAGGCATCAGTATACAGGCGGGGGGGGGGGACAGCGTATCTGTGTGCTTAGAGATATTTTATTCCCGTTTAGAATTGTGGTGGTGTAGGGTGGTGGGTATAGCTCAGTGGCAGAGTGTGTGCTTAGCATGCACAAGGTCCTGGGTTCAATCCCCAGCACCTCTGCCAAAAAATAAAAATAAATGATAAATAAACAAAAATCTAATTACCTGCCCTCCAAACCAAAATAAAACAACGAAGAATTGTGGTGTAAATGGGAACTTGGAAAGTACATTTTAAGAAATTATATTACAAAACAAACAGACTCATAGACAGAGAGAAAAATTTAGGGGGGGAAATGGGGTGGAAAGGGATACATTGGGAGTTCAAGATTTGCAGATACTAACTATTATATGTAAAACAGGTAAACAAGTTTCTACTGTATAGCACAGGGAACTGTATTCAAGATCTTGTAGTAACCTATAATGAAAAAGAATATGAAAATGAATATATGTATGTATATATATGACTAAAACATTATGCTGTGTGCCAGAAATTGACACACTACTGTAAGCTGACTATATGTCAATAAAAGAGAATGCCAAAAAAAAAAAGAGAAATTATACATACACCCACTAGTTTGGCTATTCAGAAAACAAAAAGGCGAATAACAAATTTTGGCAAGGATGTGGAGCTATTGGACCCCACATAAATGACTAGTGGGCATGTAAAATGATACAGTCACACTGGAAAACAATGTGGCAGTTACTCAAAAAGATAGACATAGAGTTACCATGTGTCCCAGCCGTTCTCCTCCTAGGTAGATACCTGTCTGAAAGCTGGGACTCAGATACCTGTACACTCACATTCACAGCAGCATCAAGTAAGTAAGTACAATAGCCGAGAGGTACCAGCAACCCAGTGTCCATCCTCTGATGGGTGGCTCAACAAAATGTGGTTTATCCAGGCAATGGAATATTACTCTGCTGTGAAAAGAAATGAAGTACTGATACACACTAAAACATAGATGAACTTTGAAAGCCTCATGCTAAACGAGAGAAGCCAGCCTTAAAAGACCACATATTATGTGAATCTATTTATATGAATTGTCCAGAACAGGCAAAAGCATGGAGCCAGAAAGCAGATAAATGATTGATAGAGCCCGTCGGGAGAGAGGGGAATGGAAAGTGACTGCTTAACAGCTATGGGGCTTCATTTGGGGAATTATATAGTGGTGATAACTGTTCAACCTTGTGAACAGACTAAATGCCACTATCTTGGACACTTTATGGAATGTAAATTATACATCAATAAAAAAAAAAGAAATTATACCAGAGCTAAAAATACAAAAGCTTCTCTTCCCTCTCTCCCATCATGAGACTTCCCACCTCATTTCTGATACTTTCAAGCTCCTTGACTCTGTCAGATTTCAGATCTCTCCAAGAGAACGTTCCTGATGTGAACTGTGTTCATAGAGCTGGAGGAGCAGTCATTTCCCCAAGCCTGCTAATGCTGAATAAAAACATTTTCAAACAGTCAGACGTATTTTGCAAGGAGAGGATAGGGGATATCCTTTTTCTTTTTGCAAGTTCAATTATATTGGCAATAGACCCTCATGACAACCTTGAACAATTTTGGCTCTTTGGAGTGGATTACAGAGAGGTTATGAGTTGCTGAAAGGAAAAAATATTGAAGCAACAAGATGCCAATTTACATTGTACATTTATCCATTAAATCCTGAATGAGCCCCTGTTTCAGCCTAAATTTGCCAAAGCCCTAATTTTTTTTTTTACAAGAATCTCTGAGGGCAGAATCTTGGTCAATTCTTCACGGAAAAGCAACACCAGAGAAAAATAATTTAGTATTTATCTATTTTCGGGAACTGAAAAGTTTTAGCAAGTCCTTGATCGTACGTATCCCCAAAGTCCCTGGGCTCCACCAGTCCAGGTCCCATTCCCCAAACCAGTCACACAAACTCACCCCCGTTCTTCACAAAACTCCACCATAGGTTTTCATTGTGTAAAACAGCAAATGATGAACCTTGTGCTGTTTTATTCACTGATGTTTTCAGAACCCGGGAGCGCCTTGGAGGCCATGTCCCCAAATAAAGCCATCATTCCCTCAATAACCGGAGGAGAAAGTGGGCATTAAAAGTCTCCTTATGCCTCACGAGGTAGATGTAACTGGGGAAAAGATGTCCTCTCTGATTATATTACCTGTTTTTACTGGGGGAGGTCCACTTGCATCAGGGTTTTCTAGAAAACAGGAAGCAAAAAAAGGAATCACCATGTTTATATGGAACCCTGGGGACATAAACGCTCATGTTCTGCTTAGGGAATGCCTTGTATGCCATCTTTGGAAAGCAGAGGAGAGGATGTCTTTTCCATTCTCCAGGTGCTCAGTGGATCCCCAGACCCTGCAGCACTAGACTACTCTTCTTAATACCGCTGGAGTTTGATATTGTGTTAAAAACAAAAATATTTATGAAGGGTATCACTAGTCCCCTCCACCTCCTGCTTCCAACCCTGATTTTTGGCAATCTTTCCTACCCCAGGAAAGAGCACTACCATTTTGCAAACATTTTCTCCCACATAGGTTGCCTTTTCATTTTGTTGATTGACTTCTTTTCCTGTGCAGAAGCTTTATAGCTTGATGTAGTCCTGGTTGTTTCTTTTTGCTTTGGTTTCTTGTACTTTTTGTGCCATATCCAAAAAAAATTGTTGCCAAGACCAATGTCAAGGAGATTTTTCCCTGTGTTTTCTTCTAGGAGTTTTATTGTTTTGAGTTCTTATGTTTCAGTCTTTTATCCATTTCAAGTTAAATTTTTGTAAGAGTTTCAGGATAGGGGTCCCATTTCATTCTTCTGCATGTGGTTACCTAGTTTCACTGCAGAGACTATCCTTTCCCTGCTGAGTATTCTTGGCTTCCCTGTCAAATGTAGTTGATTGTATATGCAAGGATTTATTTCTGGGCTCCCATTTCTGTTCCATTGGTCTGTATGTCTAGTTTTATGCTGATGTCATACTGTTTTGATTACTATAGCTTTGTAGTATGGTTTGAAATCAAGAAGTGTGCTGCCTTTAGCTTTGTTTTTGGCTATTTGGGTTCTTTTGTGGTTCCACATAAATTTTAGGATGGTTTGTTATATTTCTGTGAAAAATGCCATTGGGATTTTGATAGAGATTACATGAAATCTGTGGAAGTCTTTGGGTAATATGGGCATTTTAACAATATTAATTCTTCTGATCCATGAACATGAGGTAGCTTTCCATTTTCATTGTCTTCTTCACTTTCTTTTATCAGAATCCTGTAGTTTTCAGCATATAAATCTTTCACCTCCTTGATTAAATATGTTCCTAACTATTTTATTGTTTTTTTGTTATTGTGAATAAGATTGTTTCCTTTCATTCTTTTTCAGGTATTTTGTTGTTAGTATATAGAAACAGAACTAACTCATGTGTGTTGATTTTATATCTTGCCACTTTATGGAATTTTTTGACTAGGCCTAATGGATTTAGGGTTGAGTCTTAAGGATTTTCTGTATATTTGATCACATCATTTGCAAACGAAGACAATTTTCCTCTTTTTTTTTTCCAATTTGGATGCCTTTTACTTATTTATCTTTTGTCTTGCCTGATTGCTCTAGCTAGGACTTCCAATATTATGTTGAATTGAAGTAGTGAGAGTGGGCATCCTTGTATTGTTCCTGATATGAGAGGAAAAGCTTTCAATTTTTCACCGTTGAGTATGACCTTAGCTGTAGGCTTGTTGTGTTGGCCTTTATTGTGTTGACGTGTGTTCCTTCTACACCCAATTTATTGAGAGTTTTTATCTAGAAAGAATGTTGTATTTTGTCAAATGTTTTCCTGCATCTGTTGAGAAGATCATATGAGATTATACTAATGTGGGTATCACATTTATTGATTTGTATATGTTGAGCCATCCTTGCATCTGAGGGATAAATCCCACTTGATCCTGGCATATGATCCTTTTAATGTACTGTTAAAATTGGTTTGCTAACTTTTTGTTGAGAATTTTTGCATCTATATTCATCAGGGATACTGGTCTGCAGCTTTCTTTTCTTTTAGTGTCCTTACCTGGTTTTGAGTTCAGGGTAGTGCTAGCCTTGTAAAATGACTGTGGGAATGTTCATTCCTCTTCATATTTTTGGAAGAGTTTAAGAAAAATTGGTGTTATTTTTTCTCTAAATATTTGGCAGAATTCACCAGTGAAACCATCTAGTCCTGGGCTTTTCTTTGTTGGGAGTTTTTGATTACCAATTCAATCTATTATTTCATTATTGATCTGTTCCAGTTTTCTATTGGAAAGAAAACTACAGGCCCTAAATGGAATCATTTATGCTAGTCCATGCTGGGGCTTAATATCCAATCTAACTGAAGCTTCAACCCCTCCCAGAAATGTTCATGTCATTTTTTCAATTTGGGGGGAGTAATTAGGCTTATTTACTTATTTATTTATTTATTTATAATGGAGGTACTGGGGATTGAACCCAGGACCTCATCCACGCTAAGCACATGCTCTACCACTGAGATATACCCTCCCTGCCTCCCAGAAATGTTGTCTTAAGTGGTCTATCAGGAATTTTCTCATTGGCACCAATGAGGTCATCTGTCACAGAGGCCTCCTCCATCCCCCAAAGGACCACAAGGTCATCTGCCACATAGACTCCTTCTGTCTGCCATAGGTAGGTGACCTAAGACTGAAATGATCTTTTTTGTTTTTGACTTCCTTATCTTGCCTGTAAAGAGCTCTCCCCTTCTACGGCCTTTTGGGCTCCCCTCTACTTGCTAGAAGGGATGCTTCCTGATTCATGAATCAGTTGATAAAGCCAATTAGATCTTTAAAATTTACTTGGTTGAATTTTGTTTTTAACAACCTCTATTCTAAAACACTCACCCACATCCACATCTTTGAGACCCAACTCAGAATCTCGGATAAGAGCCTTGTTCCCACACTCAGTTCCTATTTCTCTAGTTCCCCATACTTGAGGTATCACACCTATCTTATCATTTCTTGGAGTTCTGCTTCTCCAGCTGGGTATCGTCATAGGAAAAAGAATATGTGCATCAAAGAGCAAGCCTGAGGCTGCCCTTCTTACCTATGACCATCAGGTGCAGGTGATCACTCCTTTCTGACCACTCGTGGGAAGCCCTTGTCTCATAGGTAAAAAGTACTGTCCAGCATCCTTAGGCTTAAGGTCAACAAGGAGGTCAACAACATCCTGTCCTTCTGAACTCTTCTCTTGCTTGCACCCAGAGTCCTACAACCTCCCCAGCATGAATGTCACATCTTGGATGTCAGAGTGGCACTTGAGGGTTATGTTGCTGCTGCGTTCAACCTCCAAGGTGGGCAAGGCGTGGAGCTGGGGTTTGGGAAGTTTCTCTGGAAAGAATTCAAAGTTACTTTGACCCTTCATCTTGATAACCACCAAAACCCTCCTAGAATTCACAGGATTTCAGGAAAAAAGATCATGAAACTTGGGACGCTGGAACAGAGTCCACATAGGAGACAACTCACCATCCTTTTCCTCATCTTCATAGCCCAGACAAAGCCCTGGAAGAGAAACCCTTGTGAGAGATGAATTATATGCCTGTCTTTTGGTAAAAATCAGGCAGAGAACATGCGACTCATTTGTTAAAGACCTGTCCTATTCCTTGCAAGTACTTCCCCGGGCTTATTTTTTTATCTTTTACTTTCATCCCATTTTTTGTCATTTGGAAGTTATGTTTACGGAGGTGGTCATTTTGTAATGCATAAAAATATCGAGTCACTATGTTGTACATGTGAAACTAATGTAACATTGTAAGTCAGTTATGGTGATAGAACACATGGAAGGAAGACAATGTGAGGGACTGGAGTCATGCAACTAAAAGCCAAGGGATGCTGGGAATTGCCTGCCATCTCCCAGCTAGAATCGAGGCGCGGAACAGCCTCTCCCTCAGAGCCTTCAGAAGGAACCAACCCTACCCATACCTTGGTTTCAGACTTCTGGCCTCCAGAACACATGGAGGGAATAGATCTGTTTTTTTAAGCCCCCTAGTTTGCAGTAGTTTGTGGGGAGGATGAGGTCAGTCTCCTGACTGCACAGTTTGTTCTGCCCTGCTGCTGGAGGTTTGCAGTATGGTGACAGGCAGCTGCCTCTAAAGCACAAATGTGTGGGTGGGATGAGCATGACCCCAAAGGGAAGGGCTGCACCCAGGAGAAGGAGGAAGGAACTGGGGCAGATAAGGTGGCCTGATGTCCTCCTGCCCATCCACCCCCCTGTCCCAGCAGCCCACCCACAAAGGAGGAACTGGGTGCTCAGTTGGTGGAAGTTGCTCTTTCAAAATCTGGAGGTCCCAGGAGACCAAGCCAAGATTATAATCCAGGCTGAGGTCTGTCGGATTACCCGATGTTCAAGTTGAGGGTGGTTAACATCTGTTTCTTTTACTTTAACCTTTGTGTTCTATTGCTTTTGCTACAAGCTAATCACTAAAGGGATGTTGCCTATAAGCTTTAAGTATACACAGTGGCCCATCTCCGAAAGCCCTGCCACCCATGCCTGAGCATTAAGCTAAAATGCCATTGTTTAGTTCACAGGAAACATCCTGACCAGGCCCACATATGCGTGGCTGCAGGAAAGAAGAAATTAACACATCCCCTCTGGAGTCTGGCCAGAACCACGAAATATTTGCAACAATTTATCACCTTTTTTACTTTACCTCCTCATCTCCCCCACTTCGTTCCATAAAAGAAACTAGCATCCAAACCTGGGCAAGATGGTTCTTTGGGACACCAGTCCACCATCTTCTCTGTCTGCTGGCTTTGTGAATAAAGTCATTATTCCTTGCTCCAACAGCTCATCTCTTCATTTATTGGCCTGCCATGCATCGAGCAGTACAAGCAAGCTTGGACTTGGTAAGAATAGGTCTTTCTTGTATTCCTTATTTGTAACCAGAATCACAGTTTTTCATACCCTGTAGACCCCACCCTTCTATATGCCAATGGAACATTCATGGCAAGACTTGGAGGTCCCACCCAAGCTGTGCGTTTCTCAGCCGAGTAAACCCAGGGTATTACCACATGTTTCTGCACCTCTGCTTCTCCATCCCTTCTGTGCAAGCACCAGAAACAAGGCACATGGGTAGCACAGTCCACTGTGCAGAACTCTGACAGTTAGCACGTACCCAATACACGGGAGCCATCATTTCTGTGCTTGCCACATTTCCCATGTGAACCTCCACTCCACCATAAATTTTCTCACCGATCCAAACCCATAGATGTCCCAGTCCTGGAGACTCACCAAGGCAAAGCAGGAACAGGAACTCTGTGATCATGGCGTCCCTCATGCCCACTTGTCCTCAGGGTGTGTGGAGGGAGGTTTTGCCCCGACACTTTGCTTCTCCACCACCTGGTGTGCAGTTTCCTCCTCACAACAGACTCAGGAAACCAGAAGCCGTCAATGATGACATCTTCCTCACAAATATGGTGTGTGTGGCTCTGCCCACCCTGAGATCTCTCCTGTCTCATCTGAAGTCCTGACCAAGACATTTTCTTTTTTTTTTTAACACCTTTATTGTGGTATGGCTCCTGTACAGTAAACTACACATATTTCAGATGTACAAGTTGATGAATTTTGATAGATGTCTACACCCATGAAACCACCACCACAATCAAGATAGCTAACATTTCCATCACTCCCCAAGAGGTGTAATTTTTGAATTCCCAATTTATCTCTTCCCACCCCCTTTACCCGCTGGTAACCATAAGTTTGTTTTCTACATCTGTGTGTCTGTTTCTATTTTGTAAATAAGTTTATTTATGTCCTTTTTTCTTAGATTCCACATATAAGCAATACCATATGGCATTTTTCTTTCTCTTTCTCTGCCCAAGACATTTTCTTCAAAAATAGTTTGTCTTTTACATAGTTTTATTTTTATTTTTCAATTGAAGTATAGTTGATTTATAATATTAGTTTCAGGTGTACAGCATAGTGATTCAGTATTCTTATGGATTATACTCCTTTAAAAGTTATTATAAGATAATGGCTATGATCTCTTGTGCTGTACAAAAGAACCTTGTTGCTTATCTATTTTACACATAGTAGTTTGTACCTCTTAATCTCACACCCCTACCTTGCCCCTCCTTCCTTCCCTCTCCCCACTGGTAACCATTAGTTTGTTTTCTGAATCTGGGAGTCTGTTTTGCAATATACATTCGTTTGTATTATTTTTAAGATTCCACATATAAGTGACATTATACAGTATGTGTCTCTATCTGTCTTTGTTTTACAGTCACAAAAAATGGTACTGAGTTCCCAGTATTCCGTCAGCCAGCTTCCCTGATGGTAATATAACTTCAGAACATTGTCAAAACCAGAAAATGGCATCGGCACAATACACTGTCTGGGCAAGTACATGCTGATACCTAAATTGCAGGGATTTTTGGTAAAAGCTGGATACTCACTGCCTCTGAGAGCAGGTAGGTCAACAGGAAAACAGAAATGGATGCTTCTGCCAGAGTAAGTTTGTCCCCTAGTAAACCTTGACAAATGGATCACACCGCAGCCAGGTCTTCAACGTGCTTTTTTTTACAGAAGAGAAGGGAAATGGAAAGCTTTCCTTCCCAGCCCTTCATTGCTTCTGTTGGATGAAATAAAATGCACAACCTAAAAACTGAATTATGTTTTATTCGGCGGGAGGACTCAGCCCGGGATGACAGCCTCTCAGATGGCTCTGAGGGACTGCTCCAAAGAGACTGGGGTGGAGCCAGGACACATAGGAGTTTTACGACAAAGACCAGATAGTCAGAACACTAAAAGATTACTGTTAACGAGAGAAAACCAGATATCTCCAGTTAAAGACCTCAGCACTTTTCTGGGTATGGGAAGGAGCAAATGTCTGGGCTCAATGGAGCCATTCCTTTGATGTGCACCTAGCTGTCTAGAGCCAGTGTCCTGTGCTTCCATGTCCCTAGGGGGCACCACAGGGGGTGGCTGCAGAGGCCCTGCTCCCTGCTTTTCTTCATCCTGAGTTGGCTGAAGACTCGATGGCCACAGCATTCTTTGTTTACTGAAATGGGTTGCAGTATTTTTCATTCACAATACAAATCACTTAAAGGCACAGAAACTCACACAGTCTGTTATCAAAAGTAGCATTCTAAGAGACTTTGTTCTCTTAACACAGAGAATCAAAACCTAGTCTTGTACCAGCTTACGTTTAATGACAAAATCCATTTACTCATTTAAATCAGTTTTAAGTTTAGTGAATCCTGATCATACACAAAACTTTTTTTTTCAGGATTTCTTCTTCACAAACCTCTATCACTTTTTGCATCTGTATTATTTTATGCCTTAATTCTCCCATTTAGAAATAATCAACTCTAGGTAGCAGAATTCAGTTTCTTTTTTTATGCCTTAAAAAAAATACACTCTATTTTCCTACTGTATACCAAAATGCTTCCTTCACATTTGTAGTAGCTTTAGCTACGTATTTAAATTAGAACCCTTAACTCTTTTGGAGGAGTACGTAATTAGGTTTATTCATTTATTTTTAGAGGAGGTACTGGGGATTGAACCCAGGACCTTGTGCATGCTAAGCATGTGTTCTACCACTTGCGATATACCCTCCCCACCTGGGATGCTTAACTCTTAAAACCCTTAATTTCCAGTGAAAATTAAGAAATAAGCAATTATGAGCTATCTTCTCCATTAATGTTCTGTAGATTGACAAACATAAATACCAATAATAATTTCTAAAAGCATGTGTTCTTTTATAGAAAAATCTCTTAGGGCAGCACCAAACATACTTATCAATAGTCCCAAATACATTTAGCTTTTCTGCAAAAGAAGCCAACGCTTAGTATTTAATGTTTTAATATTGTCACCAAAAAATTGGCCTCTGCACCCCAAAAAGCAAATTCAAGTTCAGAGGGAGAGACCTGGGAGCAAAGAAAAGAGCTGCTTTGTTGCTTTGCACGACAGAGGGGGTCACAGCAGGCTAGTGCCTTACAGACTGTGAGCCTATCTTGAGGCTGGGGTCCAGGGGGTTTATAGAAAAACTGGATCGAGCAGAAGAGTAGTAACAACCAGGACACTTTTCAGGCTGCTCCATTCCTCTTCATGTCAGTGAATCTTTAAGAGGAGCTCCAGAGAGTCTGTCCTTCTGAGATGACAGCCTGTTCTCTCCCTCCTGGAGTTTAGCCTCTGGGTTAAAGTTTTTCTCAGTAAAGAATGAATCAGCAAGCAGTTTCACATCAGGGAAGTCAGGTTTTTAGTTTGCTTTATGCTTCTTCCCTCTCTCTCCCCCTCTGGTGTGTGTGTGTGTGTGTGTGTGTGTGTGTGTGTGTGTGTGTGTGTGTGTGTGTGTATATATCCCTGTACTGTTGTCTTATTTTGTCACAAACCTATAAACTTTAAAGAGTGTTTCATGCCAATGAGTACTTTCCCACACCATAGTTATAAATTGCTTCTGTGACATAAGTTATTTTTTATTTTGGCTCTTTTATTAGCTTATACATTATCATATCTTCTTGGAACACTGGAATTTTATTTTTATGTCCCACACCATGATTTAAATTGCTGCACAGCCCTGCGCTCTATGGAAGTAAGGACTTGTTAACTAGCCAGCCTCCTACTCATACATTTGTATCACGTCCAACTCCTTTGCTACTATCAACATAATTGCAACGAAGAACTTGTAAATCTTTTGGACAGCCTTAATTATTCCTTAGGGTAAACTACTGGGACTAAAATTCTCAAGTGGAAGGCTATAAATTTTGAGGGAGGGGAGTGAACTTCATAACCCAGTTGCCATTAGCAACTAGTATTGACTTATTCTGAAAACTGACGATGCATGTGTCAGTTTGCCAATTTCTATCCAACATCAGATTTTATGTATTTGTTTATTTGTTTGTTTATTATTGAGGTACCATCAGTTACAATGTGTCAATTTCTGGTGTACAGTGCAATGTCCCAGTCATGCATATACGTACATACATTTGTTTTCATATTTTTTTCATTAAAGGTAATTACAAGATATTGAACATAGTTCCCTGTGCTATACAGCAGAAACATTTTTTAAAATCTATTTTTATATATAGTGGCTAACATTTGTAAATCTCTAATCTCCCAAATTTATCCCTTCCCACCCCCTTTCCCCAGTTACCATAAGATTATTTACTACAAGATCTGATTTTAGCATTAAAAACTTGTTGTCAGATTGATAGTGTAAAATGACATGTTATTTACTTTTTCTGGGTTTGGTTTCTTGGAATAGTAAAATATCCTTCTCTCTCTCTCTCTCTGTTTTTTGTTTGTTTGTTTGTTTTTGGACTTATTTTTTCATGTGGAATGTAGTTACTGAGAGAGGCATGTTAAAATACAAAATATGATTAGAGGTTCAGCTCCTTAAATATTGTCAATGATTATTTTCTAAGTTTTGTATCTATATTATTGGATTCTGTATTATTAGGCATCTACAAAGTCAGGGTTATTATATATTTCTCTTGAACTGACTATTCTGTCATTAGGAAATAGTCTTCCTCATATCTAATAATAGTTCTTGCTTTAAAAACCTACTTTATGTGATGTTAATAAAACCACACCACCTTTCTTTTGCTGGTGTTTGCATGGTATATCTTTTTGTATTTTTTTGCTTTCAATTCATTTGTGCATATACTTAAAGAATTCCTCTTGGGGGAAAAACAGCATTTATTTAGGTCTTTTTAAAACAGTCATTAAAATATAAAATTAAATTTAAAGTTAAATAAATAAATAAAAATAAAACATCCATTAGATCTTTTAAGTGAATTTTGGGTCCCATTGGCATTCCATGTAATTCCTTCTATATCAGATGTAAGTTTCTCATCTTGCTAAACTTTCTATTTGCCCATTTATTCTACGTGTCCTCATTTCCAATTTCTTTGTTTTAAAAATATTATTTTTAATATGCCATTTAAATGCCTCAATTTTCTTTACATCTACATTACTTTCTGTACATTTTTTTTGGAGAAGGGAGGTAATTATTTGATGGAGGTACTGGGGATTGAACCCAGGACATTGTGCATACTAAACGCACGCTCTACCACTAAGCTATAAACTCCCCCCTCTTTTTGTACAATTCTTTTGGAGATTATTAATAAAAATCACTTATGTTTGCCTTACTAATGGCTATGTCATATTTTCCCACCTAAAACAAAAACTTGACCCAAGTGGAGTGCCAGACTGAATTTGTTTTTCAAATGTTTTTTAGATGCCATGGTTTTGCTCCTTCTCTGCACATGGACCTTAGAGAAGCACCTCACATCACAGTCATTCAAAAGTGTTTACTAACTTCACTCAGTTCTAAGGTCCAGCATCTTTCCCATAGGCCAGGATATTCTCAGTTCTGTATCAATTTTGTCCATCTCCCCAGCAGAATCCTTCAGACCCGGGCTCTTGGCATTTCTGGCTCATCTACCTGTGTTAGAATTCAAAGCCTGGATTTGCCTGTGCTCAGATAAAGATGTTGCATGAATAATGAAATGCTCACACACATTGAGCTCGCCTCCCTCCTGTGGTTGAAAATTGCAAAAAGATGATCCCTGAATTCCTTTCCCTCCATGGTTTGGGTAAGTTTGTTGGGTCTGCATATTGGGATGAGAGACGAACGTGGGTTGAGAGGGCTGTGACTTATATAATTGGAAAGAGAAAATAATAATATTGGCTTGTATTTCTTGTTTCATGCGTTTTGGGGACTTTGAGGGGAGCTTTAGGTCATCTTACCAATCAAGTATTTTTCAGCATGCAGATATTTACATTCCACTTCCATGATCTGTCCTACACACCTAGACCCTCTTTATCTATTTACATTTTTATTCTCTCAATATCTCTGTTTGAAATGAGTATATTCATTCGAAGATGGAAACTTGACATCAATAGCTTAAATTTAAAAATGAATTTTAAAAGAAAACCCAGTGTTACCAAAAATAGAAAGTTAATGTAAATATATATGCAATGAAAAGGGTGGAAACATTAGGATAGTCTCATCATGTGCTGTTGCTGGTCAAGTTCCTGAGCCCAAGGCCAGCTACTTTTTTTTTTTTAATAACAATTCTCTTTTGTAACTTTATGTATTTATTTATTTATTGAAGGATAGTTGATTCAATGTTGTGGTAGTTTCAGGTGTACAGCAAAGTGATTCAGTTTTACATATATATTTTTCCAGATTCTTTTCCATCATAGGTTATTACAACATATTAAATATAGTTCCTTGTGCTATCCAGTAGGACCTTACTGTTTATTTTATATATAGCAGTGTGTATCTGCTAATCCCAAACTCCTAATTTATCCCTCCCACCTGACTTATCCCCTTTGGTAATAGTAACTTTTGTTTTCCATGTCTTTGGGTCTGTTTCTTTTTGTAAATAAGTTCACTTGTATCTTTTTTTAGATTCCACATATAAGTGATATCATATGATATTTGTCATTCTCTCTCTGACTTACTTCACTTAGTATGATAATCTCTAGATCCATCCATCTTGCTGCAAATGGCATTATTTCATTCCTTCTTATGGCTGAGTAGCATTCCATACACCACAGCTGCTTTATCTGGTCATCTGTCCATGGACATTTAGGTTGCTTCTATGTCTTGGCTGTTGCATATGGTGCTGCTATGAACATGGGGGTGCATGTATCTTTTCCAATTAGAGTTTTATCATCCATTTGCCAAGGAGTGGGATTGCTGGATCACATGGTAACTCTATTTTTAGTTTTTTGAAGAAACCTCCCTCCTGTTTTCCACAGTGGCTGTACCAAATGACACTCCCACCAAAAGGGTAGGAGTTCCTTTACAAAGAAGTAAGCCGGAGACACATGTGTACTAAGGATGATCTCTAGCTTGACCAAGTCTCCTTGTTGTGATCAAAGGGATTAAAGTGATTTGAAAGAGTAATAAATTTCTGAAGCCGAGATCAGTGCTGTAGAATACAGTGTCATCACATCACCTAAAATCAGCCCATATAGAACACTGGTTCATATTTCACCCTGTGGGAAATACTACTAGCCTCATTTTCCCCGCTTCCTTCTTTAAACGGGCTTCCTGAGAGCAGGTGAGTCGGCCACATCCAGTCCTGAGACCTGCTTCCTTCCAGAGTCACCTCCCAAGCCCTCCCTGAGCGCCTGGCCCAGCTCGGTGGCACCTGCCCGCAGTAATGTGACCCTGCGATGCTCGACTCCTACCAAGGATGTAAACTTTGCTCTCAGAAAGGGAGGAAAGGTCTTGGAGCTCTTGCAATCACCTGATTCCACAGAGGGCCAGGCGAAATTTCACCTGACGGATCTAAAAAGCACTAATGCTGGAGAGTACACCTGTGAATACTACAGAAAAGGCCATCCCCACATAAGTTCACAGCCC